TAAAAATCACTATTTTGTTAGCAACATTCATTTTTCAAGTTTGGTCATGCACTTTAAAAAACTAATTTTCTGGTTTAAATGGAAGAAAATAAATATAGTTTTAAAGAAATTAGAAAATTATGGTGGAAGCTGAAATATAATGAGGGAGAGAGGGAGTGAAATGTTTCGCGTTTTGAGCCGAGTATAGAGTCGAAGACAGACGGGCACGTGCCGATCGGCGGTGACGTGTCGCACTCAGGAGTCAGGACCACAGTGTTAGTCGGCGTGGCCAGTGAGACCAAGTCCCGTATACTGCCAAACCTTAACTTTTTTAACAAGTCAATTGTCCAATTGCCCTTTTATTTCCCATTTATTACATTCAGACCCCCAATTGCCCAAAACTGCTATTCACGTTCCCATTAGATTTTTCCATTTATCTTTCTGAAATTACTTAAATACCCTTTTTCTTTAATAATGTAATCTTGGTTAAGACTTAAAAAAAGAGAGTGTAGGGGGCAAAACGAGAAAGATGCATATATATATATATATGTACAGAAGAACCAATGATAATATGGTGTTAGTATTTTTATGTTTTAATTTAAAATTTTATTAAAAATATAGAATTCGACCTTTTATGAATGAATGTCTTATAACTTTTGATTATAATTTTAAAGAATTTATTTATCATATTTTTAAATGAAAAACATTCTGAATTGTCAGGTAATTTTAATTTATAAATTTAAAAAAAAAAAGTATATATATATATAAAAAAAAAAAAAAAAAGGTGGGTTAGGTATGTTCACATGGAGAAGGAAAGGGAAGATGGGTGGCTTTCTTCACGAGCTGTGTCTCCAAATCTCTTGTATTTTCAATGCTTACCTTTATGTATTTATTAGGTTGGACCCATTTGGATGTGACTTCTACCTTTATGATTTTATTTGTCTCTCGAACTCTTCTAACCAATTTCAATTTCATTCATTTCCCAAATTTCTAATCTAAACACTTCATCATCTTTATTCAATAATTAAAAATCTTGTAACATAATGAATTGAACTTATTATTTCAATAATTTGACATCATGTGCAAATAAACTTTTTAAATTTACCTCTTACAAATGTAAGTAAAAAATTAAGAAAAAAAGTGGGAATTGACAGATAAATTATACAACTAAAAATATATGAACAAAAGAATGGAATTTCAAAATTAAGTTGATAATTAACATCTAGTTATATATATAAATTGTATACAAAAACCAATAATTTAAAAATAAACACATTTAAGTATTCTTCAAATAGGACGCGTGGCGCAGAAATTATTATTCAGTATGGACCTTTTTTTAAGACATTTATTATGTCCAGAAGCTGTGAGTCTACAATGTTGTAATAAATGATAAAAACTTGTACGGACCAGGGGGATGCCCACAATTACCCTCTTATTTTTACTTTTACCTCACTCTCTTTTTCTCTCACGGTAATTACATAAAATTAAGAATATTACAAAATCTTAATCCATAAGTTGTTGTTGAATTATGTAATGAGTGCTAACTAACTTACTTTTTGCTTTTACATCTTCTTCTTCTTCTTCTTCTTCTGAAGTAATTGAGAGGAAAAAATAGTGTGTGATTACAGAGAGAGGATTGGCTGTCATTAACTTCAAACTATTTTGGGTTGTGGAGAAAGTCAAACCTCCATTTTTAAATCAAATAATGTCTTTACTCGTCTCTTGCTATAAATACACCAACTACGAAAGTTGGAACCCATCTCCATTTCAAATCTAATCCCACAACGATCTTCTTTTTCTCTATTTAGATTCTGCTTTTGCTTCCCCACAATCTCTAAATTTTCTCTTCACATGCTCTTTAATATCTACCTTAAAATCCCTCATCTTTCGCCAAACTCCCCCAACTTTTTTCTTTCAGTCTCTCTCTCTTTCTTCCATCTTCTATCAGTTTTCCTTTCACAGTACTTTCTCTGCATCTTCTGGGTTCCTGTGCCAGTTTTGTGCTTTCAATTTTCTTCCTTTGTCTCTCCAAAGGGGAAACCAAGATAAGGGCAATATTTTGTTGTGCTCTGTTTCCTCTATATTATTTTCACTTTTTCCATTTTCAGAGTTTTACTTCAAAATCGATCAAAATTTCGTTGTTACAAAAAGTCGAGATGCAAGAAAATACCATCCCTCAATTCGCATTCACAAATAGTGGTGTTGATATTCGGTCCTCTCTGTCACAGATCATTTTAGCAGGAGGTACAAACACCTTAGATTCAATCTTCTCTCATTGCTCGCCATCAACGACCCCCACCACCACGATCAGCCCTGGTTTTGAGCCCCTAGGCTCCTCAGTGTACCTCTGGCAGAGAGATCTTCTCCAAAAATTCAGCCAAGAAAACAGAGCAATGACATGCTTTGCTCGCAACCCATTAACAAACCCACCTCAAAGCTCTGTGTCAACAAGCTCCTATTTGTGCCCAATGAAGAAGAAGCTATACAGGGGAGTGAGACAGAGACACTGGGGGAAATGGGTAGCCGAGATTAGACTCCCACAAAACAGAATGAGAGTCTGGTTAGGCACTTATGATACTGCAGAAACTGCTGCTTACGCCTATGACCGCGCTGCATATAAGCTCAGAGGAGAGTACGCAAGACTCAATTTCCCAAACCTCAAAGACCCAAGAAAGTTGGGATTTGTGGACTCTACGAGATTGACTGCTTTGAAGAACTCTGTTGATGCGAAAATCCAAGCGATTTGTCAACGAGTGAGAAGGGAGAGAGCAAAAAAGAACGGAAAGAAGAGCTCTGGTGAGAGTGGGAAGAATGGGAGTGGTGATAGCGAGAAGAAGACAGTGAAGAAGGTGGAGTCTTGTTCATCATCTTCATCTTTATTGGCTCCCGTGTATGAAGAAAATTGGAGCAGTGAATTGATGTCACCAACAGTATCTGAAAATGGGATGTGGAAGAATGAGAATTCACCGCCTTCTGTGTCGACAGAGGGTCCAATGGCGGTGGCAGATGAAGCAGAATTTGAAGGATGCTTGCTGGCAAGGATGCCATCTTTTGACCCTGAATTGATTTGGGAGGTTCTAGCCAATTAGAGACATGAAGAAGGAGAGAGAGCTCTTGTGTGTTTCCGCAGGATAGAGAGGCAAATGTAAATGGGGTTTAAGCATATTTTTCACATTCTTCTTTGTTTCTTACAACAAGTCTTTGTTTTAGGTTATTAGGGATATGATTTGGCCTTCGTTTTTGAAAGGAGGCACTTTTAAATTGCTAGGCTGGGATCAGTATGAGTTTAAAGTAAGATTAGAAGCATGAGTTAGCCATTATTGTTTGTCTTCACCTCAAAGAAACTTATATATGCTTTTGAGTTGAAACTTTTTCCTTTTTTTTTTTTTTTTTTAAAAAAAAAAATCCTCATTCAATCTCTATATCTTATTTACTTGGTAGTAAAAATTAGTCATAATATACACATTTGATTGATTCCTCAATTAACTTTATTTATATCTTCAATTCTATGTAAATAAATTTATATTCCAACTTCTAAATGAAGTAACAGCAAAAACTTAAAATTGATTAGAAATTAACTTGAAATTAGAATGATATTCTATTTTTGTTACATTTATATTCTATTTCTATTCCTTACAACTGAGAATTTGAACCAAATTCAAGGTTAATACTTACCGTGTTCAACTTCAAATAACCTCATATTATTTTTAAAATTTAATGCACTATCATTGTTGTTCTATTTAAAATCTTGTGTTATTTTTTTTTAATCTTATTAAGCTTTTATACTCTCAAAACATGTTTAAATAAATTCTACTATTAAAATACTCTATAGCTTCCGTTAAAAGAATTGTACATGTGATTGACGTAGGGTTCAGGATGAACTGAGTGCTAATTTTTTTTATGCTTGGCATTTATGTGGATGTCACGCTGAACTGCAACACCTTTACTATTTTCTTCTCATTTTTCTTGATATCTTATCCTTCTTCATTCAATTTATAATCATCTATATTTTAAAAGATTTTGAATTTATTTTTAGAACTATTTATATAAAAACTCTCAAGTGGTTCCTGAATAATATTAATTTGGAAAGCAAATGCATAACTAGTGAAAAAGAGTGGAGAAAATAATTTACAACACATGAAATAGTCAATCTAATATTTAAAAAAATGAAGAGAAGTTGGCATATATTATGTATAAAGAAAAAAGAGCAAATAGTTTTGGAGAATATTACAAGTTTATATTTTATAGACATAATTAATAGGTAAAATGTTATATATGATTTTTGAACTACTTATAAATTCAATTTTATACATGCACTTTCAGACAATAGTTTTATTTAAAATAAACAAAATAAATTTTATTGTTAATGCCAAGGAGATTGCATATACATGTAAATAAGAAAAGAGTAAAAATGCTTTTCTCTAGTAGTTAGAAAAAATTTGTCATTCGCTCGAATATCATATTAATGACATATATCATTCTCTTAATAAAAGTTGAACGATATTTAATGATAGCAGCTTATTTCAACATGTTTTAAAAGTATAAGTGTTCAAATAGAAAAAAATAATAATATAAAGATTTAAATAGAAAAATAATGATAATACATGAGTTTATTATATATTAATCTTTTTTTTATTATGATGTATTGATTTTAATGCTAAAACAATATATTTCAAAATTTTTGATACAAAAAATAAATTCAAAATTTTCACTTCAATGTAATAAAAAAGTTAGAGGGTTATAATAAGATTTGTTATTTTCCCCCCTCCCCAATTAGGCTAAAACACCACAAATTATCTTGTACCATTCAAAAAGTGTCCATAAGTAGAATCACTACTCCATAGTATATTGCTGCTTGAACCTCATTTTCCTTCTAGATAATCTCCTAATTGTTCCAAAGTAACTAGGAATAGATTCTTTAACA